GATCATTCTCTCACAATATTTCCTAATGTCATTTGTACTAAATCATTCACTAGTACTCACTAAAGGAGAGCTTGAACCTATGTACTTATGTAAACCCTTCACAATTAATAAGAACTCCTCTACTCCGTGGACGTAGCCAATCTGGGTGAACCACGTACATCTTGTGTTTGCTTCCCTGTCTCTATCCATTTACATACTTATCCACACTAGTGACCGGAGCAATCTAGCGAAGGTCACAAACTTAACACTTTCTGTTGTACCAAAGTACTCGCTTATTTTGTGCATCAACAGATTATATAACTCATTCAATGCAAATCTAGATACATGAGTAACAACCTCTTTGAAGAAGGGAAGTCGAAACTTGTGTGAAACTCCAACTTTTTCACTTGAAAGTTGAGTTTGATTTCTTGAAATTGATTTTCAATAACAAGGCATATTTTTTCTTTTACCTCACGAAGACCTCTGGTTGAAACTTTAAGATATTCTTTTAGCGTTGCATGTGCACCTTCAGCTCTTGAAGTAACACGATTACCAAAGTGGGTAACTTTCTCAGATCATGCATTTACAAACTTTTCTTTATATGGAAGCCAATTACTAAGAATATATTTCAAAACAAATTTCTTCTCCTTGTACTTAACTTCAAAATGACTCCAAGCTTCATTGAATGATGTTTCATTACGAGATTGGATTAAAATTGTCCAAGTAGAAATGAAATCAATCCAATCAACTTCTTCCTCAAAATGAGTTTTACAATTTGCAAGTATATTTTTCTCAATATGCCACACGCACAAAAGATTGGACGTACTCAGAAAGACAATGCATATGGCATTCATTAATGCCAACTTCCTATTTGTTATAATCACCATAGGATGATTATCAACTTCCAAAATCTTACTAAACATTTTTAGAGCCCACACGTAATCTTCTTCTTTCTCATTTTGCATGAAAACAAAACAAGAATAAAAAGATGTGTTGAAACTTGAAACTCCTATGATATCCAATAATAGCATCTTATACTTGTTGGTCTTATATGTGCAATCCATCACAAAAACATATGGGTAGCTCTTGGTCAACTCTATAGACAAGGGATGAGCAAAGATCAAATGAGTCAAGTGGCCTTCATGATCATACTCAATGTTATAAGTGAAACCACCTTCACCAAGTTCTTCTAATAATGCTTGAATAACTGGACGCCCAACAAGACTCTCCTTCACAATCTTAACTATTTGATTATAGATGTTTCGAGAAACTACTTGAAGATGAGGATTGCCTTGCCGAAGCGAAAAGAGAATTTGGCGTGGTGGTATACCACCCTTACTCATTTATTTAATTCATAAGATTTCTCTTGTGAAAATTGACGATAAGAAGGATGTCCACACATGTCATTCGAAAGTTCATGGTTATGCAATAAACTTTTTATCTCTAACTTCCAAAATTCTTCACGTTTCTTTTTATGCCCCCCTGACTTTAAATGGACAATTTATGAGGTGAGATCCTGAGTTTCTTTTTCTTTCATCTAGTGAAGTTTTAGAGGCTCAATAATCCCCACCTCTATAACAACCAATAGCAACATATCTATTTGTCTTAGATCTTCTAATAACAGTTGCAAACCCTTGCATTACTGCTATCTTATGAACTTCATCGATGAAGCCTTCTTGACTTTCAAAACATTTCGCCAACAAAGAGGGCATTTTATCGGGCTCATCAATCGTTGGTTGACTTCCTATATATCACAACCAACACATTTATATATGTAGAATATATACTTTGGTTTTATACCTAAAATTTCCTTTCTTAATTTTTATATGGGTGGCGTTAGGAATCCTTATCATCCTAACCTATGGAATTGTATTGATTGACAAACTAGTGCAGTAAATGGATTGAATATACATTCATAGACAAGAATTATTGAACAATGTGTAAGTATTTACGGGCAGCAGACTCGAAATTTAAGCTGCAAAGCGGCTCTCTACATCAATTTTTGCACATTGAGATTAGGCACCCAATAATTCCATATGGTCATGGAGCCTAGGTAAAACCATAACAATTAAACCTAATACCAATTTACCATTAAGTTATAGTGTATTGGGGACCAATAGAAACAGCATTCCAATAGAAAATTAATTTCCCCAAAATCAGCATAAATCAATTTTTAATTTTTTGATCCATAATTTGAAAATCTTCTCTAAAAATTAAAACTACACCAATATTTATTCATTTGATTGAGATTTGAACAACAAATTAGGGAAAGAAAAAAAAAATCTAAAAAACAAATTGAGATAAAAACCTAACGCAAGAAGAGAACAAAAACCCTAAATTCCAAAATCAAAATCAATCTTAATAATTTGAGAAAATACTTTAGAAACTTACCATCAAAAGAGTTAAGAGGAGGAATGCATTCTGAAATTTCTTCCATGCCATCCTCCTTGCATGCCATATCCAATATGTTTTACAACTCAATGTCCATCTGGAGCTCTTCATCTGTTATTATCAAGTCATCCATTGTGGTTTTTCACAAGAAGTAATAAAGAAGGGTAATAGATTGGCTTTTCATGGAGGGTATGAATGGAAGCAAAGATGACAGGGAACAGAGGCATAGAGGAAGGGGAGAAATATGGGAGTTTATCTTGAGTGTTGATTCTTTCTTAGTGTAAAAATCAAAAATCAAAAACAACTTTCAAAAGTCAAAAAGTATGAAAGGTATATATAGAAGATTTAGGGGTGTGCTATCCACATACCCAAAATTACTTCTCACACACCCCTTGTTAATTTATGTCTGTTGATCTTCTTCAATTCATCCGATCCGACGGTCGAAAATTAGAAGGGTGTGTGAGAAGTAAAATGGGATGTGTGGATATCACATCCCAAGATTTAATAGTAGGATACCAATTAAGTATTAAAAAATAAAAAAGGTGTGGGAAAAATAGTTAAGGATGTGTGAATATTACAACCCTTTATCGCAATAACGGAAAGTAATAATTTGACAATTAGATTGGAGAAGTACTAAATTTGACATAATTTATGTTGTTGCATCAGCCATCAATTATAATTTGACTGTTATAATTTGATATTTCATTTGAAGATGATTTTCTACACCTTTTTCTTTTTCAGTTTATGTTGTGGTTGTTTTGTTGGTGTGGAAAATGAGAAATTTTTTAACGTGCCAGGTACACAGATAGTACACAAATCTCATAATACAAGTGGTTGAAATTTATTTTTTATTTTTTGTGATACTTAGGTACACCACATGTTATTATAAAATTTGAGATAAGTTTTTTTTTTTTTCAAGTGCCCTTCCAATTGTATAAAAACATGCGGTAAACCACTCCGTGTTCCAAGCACACTAAACAATCTCTCTCACTAATGAGTAACATATAGGGATGTGATATCCACATACCCCATTTTACTTTTCACACACCTTTTTAATTTTTAACCGTTGGATCGGATGAATTGAAGAAGATCAATGGACGAAAATTATCAAGGGATGTGTAAGAAGTAAAATGAGATGTGTGTATAGCACACCCCTAACATATATACTCATTTTATAATTTGACCCAATAAAAAAATGGTGTGATATCCACACACCCCTTTTTACTTCTCACACACCCTTTTAATTTTCGGTCGTTGGATCAAATGAATTGAAGAAGATCAACGGACAGAAATTAACAAATAGTGTGTGAGAAGTAAAAAGAGGTGTGTGGATAGCACACTCCTAAAAAAATGACACGTGTTTTTTATTTTTAACATATACACTATTTTTTAATTAAATAACACACTATTTTTTTAAACAACAAAACATGTGTTAAATATCATTGGGTCAAATCTAAATAGTGAGTATAAGGTACTCACTAGTGAGCACCTAAGTATATTCTATTTATTTTTTTCAAGTTCCAACCATTTGTATTATGATAGTTTGTGCATCGAACCGTATTTACGGCACATTGAAACAATTTCTTGCATGAGAGGCCAGTTACACGAAACAGAAAAGAAGTTGAGAAGATGAACATAGTATTCCCCTGGGGAGTGACAAAGAACATACAATAAGAAGGAAACAGAGCAACCAGGAAAGAGAATAGTTTATAGCAAAACAAATACGAGAGAGGTTAAATTAAATCGAGTTTTGAACACTCAGATATGTAAAAACGGCCATAAGGTCAATTCATAGAGGAATGACACTGAATCACAGAGGTAATTTTTGAGGTTTTACCAGACAAAGGGGTTTGCAACCTTGAAGTTGGCACTCTAGGCCTGTAAAATTTTGAGCTTCATGCGATGCAAGCACCAACAAAAGGAACAAGGAAAAACGAGTCTGAAGAATCAATTAAAACCACAACAGACTTACTTTGAAAACAAACCGACGTCGTAACACAACCTGATCTCTTGCAGGAAATCACACACCATGTCAAATGATGCTCTTGCTTGACTAAAAAAACGTTAGAGAGAAGACAGTAAAACCGGCAAAGATGTAAGGAACGAGAAATGGACTCGTTTTAAGCCAGTGTGTTTGATGAGACACCGGCGCTGAAGTCCTGAAAAACATGTCAACTTTCTAGCATCTCCTTAAAAAGCATCGAAAATCCGGACACAGTACATTAGCACACAGCAAGCAAGGTCATCACACAAATTGGATTGGAGAAAGCTCAATGAACCACAAAATTTCACATTCGAAATTGGAAAATGCAATTCCTGATCATGAAAAAGAAGTACAATGTAGATACAGAGAGGCCCAGAGAATCGTCACAACATCAAAATTCAGCTACACAAAACTGTATGGAAAAGTAAATATGAGTACAGAACAACGATCTGATCTACGATGCCTCCAAAAAGGTTCCCAGGCTGCCCTCGCATAAATTACAAAAAAAAAAAAAAAAAAAAAAAAAGAACTATCTGCAACTAACAGAGAGACTCACAGGTTGACAGAGGCTGTGTAAGCAGAAGCTGAGGAGATGAAATGAAACCCATGAACTCAACAGGCTCAGAATCCTTCCTTTGATTTGAGATCACTCTTCCATGGCGTCAACATTACCGATTTTCAATGGATCACTGCCCAACCCATTACTTCCCTCAGCCTTAACAATCTTGGGCGCCGGTGGAATTCCACCAGAACTCTCCAGTTTTGGCTTTCCGTTGAGGCTCTTAGGCCCGGAAACAACGTCTCCAGCTTTTGAATCCTGCTCCTTCTGCTTGTTAACCAGAGAACTGAGTTTCTCCAACGCCTCCTTCGCCTTCTTCTTCGCCATCACGGCCTCCCTGACGCGGCGCTCGGCCTCCGTCCTGGCCGCGACGGCGGCTTTCGCCATCGAAGCCGCAGCAATTTTGGCAGCGGCGACAAGGGCCTTGGCGTTGGCCTTGTCGATGACGAATGCCGTTTTGGGGTCGTTGGCGTCGTTTTGTGGGCGATTGAGGCTGAAGAAGGGGTAGCCCTGTCGGCAGGTATTGCACTCGAAGCCATGGAAGGAGGAATTGGCGACGAGGACGCAGGCGGGGTGAGAAACGGAAGGGCACTTGACGCACATGACCCGGTCACGTGCCAGAAGGGGTGGGTCGAAGAATTCTAGACAGAAAGGGCAGTAGAGGCCGCGGTAGTTTTGGAGGACGCAGTTGGTGCAGAGCCTCTGAAACGCCCCTTTGTGGCGGATGTAATGGAGGAACCACCGTTCGGAGGAGCCGCAGACGCCGCAGAGTCGCCTCTCGGGTTCGGGTTCGTCTCGCCTCATTGCCATTGGAATCGCATTTGATGGTGGGGGATTGGATTGCACCGGATAGGACGGGATTATTGGGTAACGGTAACCCTAGGGTTAGAGGAAGCGGGAGGTGGAAATTAGGGTTTCTTTGGGGTGCGAATTAGGGTTTTGAAGCGTAGGAGATTGTTCAGAGTCGAGTGTTTGACAAGTCTACGAGCGTTTGACACTTTGACGGTTTGCGTTTGAAAATTTTGGCAAAACGCCAAAAGCCGAACCCCTTTTTGTTTTTTTTCTCTTTTTTCAAATCCCCGTCTGCACAACAAAATTAATTTTTTATATTTTCGACTTGAACCGTCGAACCCGCTCACATTGCTTTAGGGCGAAGGTAATCACTCGTACAAGACTCATACAAGTTTCTCACTTTCACGTGATCTAAATTAGAACGACGGTAGGTAATTACTCATACAAGTTTCTCACTTTCACGTAATCTAATTGGTTTAAAATAGAATATCGCTCATTCACACATGACCAAAACAAATGTACGCACGTATGCACACTCGTTCGACTCATTGCTTCGATGCTTCACTGCACTAAACGCAAATAAAGTTCATATTTGAAGCGGTAGTGTGCGTGTCGAATGGTAGCGTACCAAATTCAAGTGTGCATGCTTGAAGTGGTAATGTAATACCACTCGTCCGGAGACCTAAGCTACCACTCTGAACGAGCAATGTACAAGTCCGGCGATGTGAAATTTTCAAGTCGCCACATTTATTTGAGAACATGGTTGCAAGTTCCAACATCAAAAACATTTGTGGATGTCATTACTCAATTCTGAGGTTGAAATGAACTCAATTATAATATTACAGCCTCTGCGCCAGCTTATTCCTATACCAAAATTCAACTTTGATGAAAGAAAACGAGACAAATCAATAGCCTCAGACAGGCCGCGACAGAAATGTTGTCGATTGGCCATAACTCAACAACCTAGTACCTTTGGGAATTCAAATTCAGCTCCTGGTTAATCTGCCACCATGAACGGATCTACTTCTCCGAGATCAGCAACTAGCGGTTCTAACTTGGATGGATCCTCATCCTCTGGAGCAAAGTAGGTTGGAAATGGTAGCGATGAAACATCAGGTTTCTTGTAGAAAGCATCTCTGATGAAAACGAAGTTCCCTTCAGCACCCGGGACCTGTGAAAATAGCCAACATCTAATTGAGTAGCGCGAAACAGGAATTAACAGCACAACATACGACTCCAGAAGAGGATTAGGACCAATCACTGTATTGATTTTAAACACTGCAGTTGTGAATGTGTATCAACGCATTCAATAAACCAACCAAAATTATCTACCCAGCTCAAACCTTTCATTATACATTTCCTCCTCAACGTTCTGAACACTTCGGGAAGATATTAAGCTCATAAGACTATTGTTGAATAAGGTTCAATAATCAAAATGCGTGAACTTAAGAAAAGAAAGTGTGAGGAATCATACTTGGCCTTTCACCCACATCAAATTCCTTGCAGGATCGATTTTGTAGACCCATACATTTTTCACCGTTCTCTGTTTCCCACCCATGCGCCCCGGCATCTTTCTGCCTTTAAAAACCTGTTCATACAACAAATGATTGTAACAGTTACAATTTTAAATTATTGGAAACCACCTGCATTTTACAGATAAAGAAAGAAGGGTTCACTGAATTTTACACCACAAGGTTTGGGGGGTCATTTGCAAAATGAGCCACAAGGTTCGAAGTTTTGCATTTTCAACCATGTGGTTTTTGAATTGCACCAATTTAACCTCTCCGTCAATTCCATCATCCAATTAGATGTTAGGTGCTAATGTGGCATATACCAGGCCCACATTTTAAGCACACGTTTACAATCAATTTCATAAAAGGATTAAAAGAGTAAAGCACTAAACACTGAAATTGACGGTCAACAAGTGCTTAAAATGTGGGCCAAGTCTATGCCACATCAACACGCAACATCTAATTAGATGATGAAATTGACGGAGAGTTTAAATTGGTGCAATTCACTAACCACGTGGTGTAAAATGCAAAAATTGAAACCTCTTGGCTCATTTTGCAAATGAACCCCAAACCTTGTGGTGTAAAACGCAGTTAAACCAAGAAAAAATATAAACAGGTAAACCAATATAATATATATAGCATGTCCACTAATAAACAAAAAGTAATGTTATTCAGACACAAAACTAACACACTGGCTGGCACACTTCTCTAATATAACGTGTCCCGCATACAATGTAGGGCACATCTATATTAGAAAGTGTGTCAGCTTTGTGTGCTCAAATAGAATTATTCATGCACAAATAAGCAACAGATTATTTGACTAAATTAGGTCATCATCATTACAAGAAAAGAGAAAGGTTTGGTTGTATACAGAGATATCCCAAAAGAACTTGTCAGAATAGTTTATGGAGATTTGGAAGCCAAACCTTTCCAGCATCATCCCTCTGACCTGTAGAACCAATACTTCGGTGCGACAGAGATGCGCCATGGGATGCTGGCATACCACTAAAACCGTGTCTTTTCATTCCACCCTGGGCACAGAAGATAAAGTGATACATAATGTTTCATAACCTCACAAAAGTGTTACCATTGTCACCATCACATCAAGATCCTTGAGAAACACAGTTGAATAATTCGTTGATCAATTCTATTACAAAGATTTCTTTTTTTTTTTCCTTGAAATAGCACACACAACCATAGGTGAAGATAAATAAATTAGTTCACCTGGAAACCTTTCCCTCGCGTGATTCCTGTGACATCAACATATTGGCCTGGAACAAAATGGCGAACACCAATTCCCATACCAACAGGGAGGAGCGCATCATTTGATACAGGAAACTCATGCAATTTCCTCTTAAGTGGAACACCCTGACCTCGGAAATGACCCACCTCTGGCTTTGTCAAATGTTTTGCTTTCTTCTGTCCGCAACCAATCTAACTAGCACCACAACAGAATACAATCCTATAATTAAACCCGTGACCTCGGAATTTTTCAAAAACTAAAATTACCCTATGTTTAGTGGCCAAGAAAAATCAATGTGATCAATATTGGAAAAACCAAACAAAACCCAGATGCAAGTACCAAAATTACAGTTCCATTGAATCTAGTTAACAAATAACAGTAGGAAAACAAATTACAAATGATGTTCTCTCGGTGACCAAAAATTTCGGAACCTGTCAGTTTCCCATTCATCAAAACCCCTACTAACAACACCCTTGATCCCCCAGCGAGGAATGCATATAGTTTCAAACTGCAAATCGCAACTGAAGCAACCCGATATTAAGGCCAAGCCAATCCAATTAAACAGCTAAAATGCAACTTCTACTGGTTCAATCGAATACACTGTAACCAAATTACAAAACTTCAGAAACGCACTACCATATTCTTCTCTCGAAAATTCCAAAAGATCTGAACTTTGGAAATTTCATAACGCCTAAATATTTTAATTAAAACAATAACCAAACGAAGCCAAATCAAATTTGCGACGAAGAGCGAAAAATGAAGAGAAAAAGGTTACCTGGAGAGCAGGGAAGCCTTCCTTCTCAGGGGTCTTGACCTGAGAGACGATATTATCATCGACCCAGAGCACAGTTATCGGAACCCTAGCGCCCCATTTGTCCCAGAGCGCAGTCATCCCGCACTTGACGGCTATGAGCCCGGTCCTCTTCGAACCCGGGCTCATGGGGCCGGGCTTCGCTTCAATAACCGGTCTCCTGTCCGCCACGGCCTCCGTCGCGTCCACCATGGCCTCGGAGCTGAAGCATCTGAAGAAATGGCACTGGGTCTGCGTCAACGACGTCATAGCATTAGCGGCAGGAGTAGCAGTGCAAGAAGAAGGGGAGGGGTTGAGCGAGAGAAGGCGGAGGCGGGAAATGAGGCCTCTCGATAATGCCGACATGGCCGCCGTGAAATCTGAAGAGTGTTTAGTTGAGTGATGGGTTTGATGGCATATCGCGGTGTAAAACCCCGAAAGGAGGTTGCAGAGATCGCAATGGGGAATTGGCGCAGTAGGGTTTTAGGACTTTAGGAAGAGAGAGAGGATGTTTCTCTTCTGTGTGTTCCGTTACTTTACTAAACGAAGTCGTTTATGTCAAAAATAGGCAAAGTATGTAATTTTATTTTTGGATGTTTATAATTTGGTCCCTGTGTGGTGGACGAATTTCACTTCTGTAGTTTCAATTGTCGCAATTAAAAATCCAGAATTTTATAATTGTCGTAATTTAAAAAGAAAAATGTTATTCACGTACTTATTCTTATTAATTATATTTTAGTTAATTTTTTATTGTTGATAATCTTCAATTTATATGATTCGATGATCGAAATTAAGAGATGTGTATCAAAAGTAAAAATGAAAAATTAGAAATTGAGATGTGTAACAGAGATTAATGGAGATTTAGCTTAATTACCGTATTTGTGGATTTATCTTTCTGATGGATGAGCAATGAGAAATGTTATATTAAAATGTCAATATATGTGTCTAAACATTTTGACACGTTAAGATGATCTAAAAAAGGAATTTACGCTCCATATGTCACATCCAATCAATGTTTAAACTATCGATGAAATTGTTAATATTTTTGTCAAAATATTCGAGGATCGATTTAGTAAAAAATATCCAATAAATTAAGAATTATTATAAGAAAATAAATGAATATTGACAATATTTACCGATTTATTGTAAAAATTTTGACAGAACCCATGACAGATTTCAAAGCTTTTGATTTTTTTATTATAAAAGGAGGAATAACTTGGAAAATTACAAACGTGTCCTGTCCTGTCCTGTCCTCACTACTCACCAGTCACCACCTCTCTTTACTTCTCCACCACGAAGAAACCAGTCCATCATCCATCCATGGAGCTTTACCTTCCCCACCCTCACCACCGTCTTCCTCACCAGGACCCAATACCCAGAACCCTCGACCCTACCGTGCGGATCTTCCCTTTCACTCTGACTCTACGGAAATGCAACCAGCGAAGCCGACGGCATGGTTTCTCCAAGACGAGGTCGTTTCTGCTGGAGCAGACCGGTGGGAAGATGGTGGTGGAGCTCGTGGGGGCGTTCAACGAGCTCACGGAGAGGATGGGCATGCTCTCCAGCAGCGGCTCCCACTTGCTCTTCAAGGCTCTCAAGCTCTCCATTCCTTTGCTCCATGCTCTGCCTCTGACCCCAGATGGCCGTTCTTCTCTCTCCAGAGCCCTCTCCATCTCCCTCCTCCTTGCTGACCTTCAGGTAACGGAGACTTTTGGTTTTCCGGGAAATTGGCTGAAACGATGAATTTATAAATCCAATTTGCTGAAATCATCGTTTCTCCGTAAATATTTGATCAATATGTGGTTAATGTTTGATTACTTTCAGCAAATATTTGTAAATTATTTTATTTTGATCAGTTCAGCAATTCGTATTTGTATAATGATCGTTTGAGTCAACCTTCTGTTTTTGTAATTTTTTAATTTCTGGTCCTTCATTGTGTAATTTGGATGAACTCATTAATGGGTTTTCGGTAAATTTGATTGTTGCAGATGGATGCTGAAGTAATTTCAGCTGGGATTCTCCGGCCAGTTGTGGAGGCCCGTTCAATTTCGATTCTCGATGTTAGGAACCAGATTGGTTCTGGCACTGCGCATCTCTTGCACGAAAGCTTGCGGGTTATGAAAGTCCCTTCAAAAGTTGATGTCTTGGATGATGACAGTGCAACTGCATTGAGGAAGTTTTGCTTGACTTACTACGATATGAGGGCTGTGATTTTGGACTTGGTGCTCAGGCTTGATGTGATGCGGCATCTTGATTACATGCCGCGGTATCAGCAGCAGTTGACATCTCTAGAAGTAATGAGGCTTCACGCGCCGTTGGCTCATGCTGTTGGGGCCAACTGGCTGTCATTGGAGCTCGAGGATCTTTCGTTTCAGTACTTATTTCCACATTCGTACCTTTATGTCGATTCTTGGTTGAGAAGTCATGAGACTGGAAGTAAGCCTCTGGTGGATGTGTACAAGGAACAGTTGTTGCGGTCGTTGAGAGTTGATCCGTTGTTGGCAGACATGGTGGTTGATGTTTCGGTTGATGGGCGGTATAAGAGTCGCTATAGCACAATGAAGAAGCTGTTGAAGGATGGTAGGAAGCCAGAGCAAGTGAATGATGTTTTGGGATTGAGAGTCATATTGGAGCCTAGAGATGGAGAAGATATGGCAGAGGTAGGGGAACAAGCATGTTACAGGACGCGCGAAGTTGTTCGATCTATGTGGAAGGAAATGCCTCACAGGACAAAAGACTACATTGCAAGGCCCAAGGCGAATGGGTACAGGAGTTTACATATGGCAGTTGATGTTAGTGACTGTGGGAGGAGTAGGCCATTGATGGAAATACAGATAAGGACTAAGGAGATGGACATGTTGGCCGACGCTGGAATGGCATCTCACTCATTGTACAAAAGCGGTCTTACAGACCCAGAAGAGGTTGTTTGATTTATGCACTTGATATTTGCTAATTTTGAATGTTTTGTCTTTTACGTTCAGCATGTTTTATTGGAGGCTTATAATCAATCGTTGATGATCAGGCAAAGAGGCTTAAGGCCATCATGATGGCTGCAGCCGAATTTGCTGCGTTGCGCCTTAAAGATATTAATCACGAAGGCATTGAGACTGAGCAGAGTCAGAATAATCGAGTATTCCGCCTTCTTGACAAGAATGGAGATGGTAGGATCAATATTGAGGAACTTATGGAGGTGATGGAAGAGCTTGGTGCCCCAGGGGAAGATGCATGTGAGATGATGCAGCTACTTGATGCAAATAGTGATGGTTCACTTAGCTCGGATGAATTTGAGTTGTTTCAGAAACAGGTAAAGATTTCCGTCTTTCGCAATTGGAGTAGTTAGCCGGAAGAACAAATATTAGAAGGATTATTGGTTTTCTTTCAGCATTTCTGTTCCTTTCCGGGTTGTGGAGAGAGAAAGGGTGGTGTTAATGAGATAATTCAAATACCGGATAATAGTGATACTGGTGTAGAATTTGCACATTCTCGCCGTTGAAGAACTTATGTTTCTACCTATGTCTTGCAGGTTGGCTTTATGCGTAATTTCGAGGAAAGAGATGAGCAGTACAAGACCGTGTTGAATGACAAACTTCAAATTGCAGACAGTAGCAGTTTGATCCAGGTGTCCGGTGAAGATCTTAGCAGCAGGGCTTCGGAATTAGATTTGCTTGCATCCGGTTGAAGACTTATCTGTAGTCTCTCAATCACCATGTAAATATAAGGTTTCAAACTGTATATGCTAAATTTCTCGTCTATTGTTCAGGTGTCCTAATGGTTTAGAACATGTTGGTTCCAAAAGGATAGCCTGATTTGTACAGTGTATACGACGAGGAGTGATGTATCCGTATTCTGTAATTAACCATCCAACATTGTATTCCCTCTCTTTGCGATTATAACAAAGAATGTATACCGTCATTGCAGGCTACTGTCTTTATGTGTTGCTACTTAAAAAATTGATTCGACAGTTAATAACGCGATAGAATGGCTTCAATCTTCCCTAAGTTCGAACCAAATAATGAAATCGACTCATCGATTCATTCCATCTATTCTTTGATTCCGTTCACCGGCGATTAACTCCCAACTAAGGTTACAGATGAAGCATTAGGAGGTATCCACCGCCATGGGTTAAAGGGCAATGGGCAGGAAAGTAGTTCGAAGTTGTGGGAATTTAAGCACTCTTCACATTCTGTTTATAAATTTTCTGCAGGCCTATCATCGGCAGCTAAAGCAACCTGAAAATGGCTGAAAAACCTGGTCATACGCAAGCAGGTGCAGGAGTTTGCATATGGCAGTTGATGTTAGTGACAGTGGAAATAAAACTTGTATGGTCTTTGTTCTTCTCTGCATATTGAATCTATGCTTAACTTTAAGCAGAGACGAGAAGTACAAGACCGCGTTGAATGGAAAAAGTCAAGCTGCAGAGAACAGCAGCTTGATTTTTGTTACATGGTAAAAATATTGGCAGCAGCATTGCAGCAATGTATTTTCTAGCATCTGGTTGAAGACAGCAGGTACTCTCTTGTTCATCAAGTTACTTTGTTTTACTACAGCATTTTTTAACCCGAGATGAAGGGCTCAGAACATCGGAAACAATCTGCCGGTGCTCAGGGCTAAACTACACAAGGATGTTTTTCTTGCAATCTGAATCATATTTCGCATTTACTCGAGTCTTGCATCCAAAACTGAATATTTACATAAACTTGTAATATATGGATATATACACACACACACACACACTCTATATACATTTCTAATCACACTAGCTGGTCAGCAACTCTTGGGTTGAGGGAACACCTAAGTCGTTTGATAGCTTTTTACACAACTGCACATACCAAAAGAACTGATTTAATGCCAGAAACCCAAGAGAGAAGGGATGTAGTGGTAAATTTGCAAGAGAGGGGGGTATGCATACCTGTCTATATGCAGAAGAATCACCATATGATTTTCTCAACTCTACTACAAATAAAGATGGGCTTATCTCAAACACCTGATGCAATTATGAACATAATTTGTCAGTTGACATTCAAGTAAACTTAAATTTTCAAATGCATGCCGGTAAATATACTTTTCCGGGAAGAAGTACTCCAAAAGTTTGGGAATGAAATTTTACCTCTGCTGCAACTGATAGACTGCCCAGGCTTCTCACCCCTTTGTGTTCTTGCATCACTTTTAACTGAAATATCGAGAAAACATGACGATATTTTAGTCGATATTGAAATGAAAACGACATGATTTATACAAGTTTATATGATTGAAACGCAAGTATTTTTTTGGATTTGAGTAGAAATGAGGGTGTAAACAATACTAACCCTTCCATTTTTCTTCTGGACACAATATCCCATCTCCATTACGATTTCTTCGATTTTCTTGAGCAAATCTTTTGCAGAGTGGTTGGATGTAAATCTGATCTTCCTCTCGGACACATCCTAAATTAACTCAGACAGAAAGCAGATATCACAATCAGATATAATCAAGAACTTTCAACTTCGGCAGAAATATCGAAACATTCAATGCCAAACAAGAAGATAAATCATTTTATCCTCACCTCTTTCTCAAAGAAGCCGGAGAGGTCTAGACAAGAGGACATTCCGATTAACTCAAAGGCATTGATATGGGTGTGCGCATGCCGGGCGTCTGGACTCTTCTCCCCCTCAGATGGCTATACCAAAAGAAATAACTCTTCAGTTTTAGCACAGATAAAAACGGATAGCCAAAAAGGGTAGATAACAGACAAGAATTGTGAATTCATACCACTTCATGTATTGAGAAAGCTTCATCATCGATGTTTACATCTTCTTCTTCATCAGGGTTTACAGGAGAGTAATCCTGCTTGAACCATTCGTCTGACTTGATGCCGGTCATTGTTATTCTGGTAGCAGGGTTGGGATCGAGAATCCTCTTGATCAAGTTTTTTGCACCGGGTGACAACCATTTCGGTATCAAAGCTTCCCCCTTAATGATCTGAAATCCCCTAAAAATATTAGCATCGAAGCGATGGAGTGCAAACAAGAAAATTTCCTCCACTCAACGTAAGAAAGATTCAAAGAGAATTCGTCGATACCTTCTGATAGAGAACTGCAAGATTTCTGTCATCAAAAGGGAGAAATCCGGTGAGAATGACGTATAAGATGACACCACATGACCATATATCGGAGGTGGCACCATCGTAACCTTTGTTAGCAAGAACCTCGGGAGCAACATAGTTGGGGCTTCCACAGGTTGTATGAAGCAAACCATCTTCCTGACATATCAGAAACAATCAAAGGGTTAAATTACTCGTACTTGACGCGAAACTTAACACTTAAAGTTTGGTTTGGAAGAGTAATGTACCCGAAAATGTTGGGGCAAAGCACTGAGGCCAAAGTCCGATATCTTTATGTTCCCCTTGGCATCAACAAGAACATTTTCAAGCTGCAACCAGAACATACAATATTTGAAAGTGTGAGCAAACTGGAACACAATGCAGTTTGTTTTGGCTCCATATCGTAAAAATAAATGTTTGGGAAATGCAGGAAGTACCTTAAGATCCCGATGGAAGACGCCTTTGTTGTGACAGTAGCTCACACCGTCGATTAATTGTTGGAAAAGCTTCCTGCCTTTAGTTTCTCTAAGTTTTCCATGGTGTGCCTGCAGCACGGAGAACCTTATTAGTATAACCACTACTTAGTAACTTATATGTTTTCCATCGTGTGCTCGTTCGATAACCATTTTGTTTTTGTTAGAAGCTGCTTAGAGTAAGAGCTCCTTACAATTTTGTCAAACAATTCGCCGCCGGTAACATATTCTAGGACCATGTAAATTTTGGTTTTGCTAGCTACAACCTGCAAGATGAGCACAATTTTAGCATCAAACGAAGCATTGTTGGTCATTGCTTTGAATACTCTAATAAAAAATAAAAATGATTAGAAACAAGGAATATTATCTTATTTTTCTCAATTCCACAATTAATATCTTTTACAAACTATTGCTACTAACAATTTCTTTGAAAATACTTGGCCGATTGTATGTAAGGAGTCGTTCCTTCTCGCAGACAAATCACAATTCGACATATGACAGTGTTGGAAGAGGTCAAGAGTTGGAACTGCTCCTTCCCCTTCACAAAAAAAAGAAATTGAAGAACTGTATTTTTTTTAAATAAAAAAAAAAGTTAAATGAGATTAGCTCTTCGTTAATAGTTATGTGTGAGAGACCTACTTGTCCTCGGGATCAATTTGGCCTAACAAAAAGCATATTCTTAACCAATATGCTTACACATCTCCCCTTCCTTTCTTTTTCTTATTAAAATTCATTTATTTTTTACTATATTATTTCTGTCTTAGTCTTAAGCGAAACATGAAGGTATTTATACTAAACAATTGCATAAGACGATTATTGTACATCCTAATATTAATTTACAATACTAAAATTTATTTTTAAGGTACTTAATGAATATACTAAGCCACCTGTCATTTTCGTTTTTAATTTTAATGGGGACAAAATAGGCATAAAGTTAAGACGTTACGGAAAGTGGGTGAAAATAATTAAAACGTTATTGATGGACCTTATCCACCACAAAGCTTTCATGTGGGACCGCATTCTAAACTCCGAGAAGCTAATAGCCGTCGGTGGGTTTTCCAGATCATTCCACGCAATAACTGCCGTAGCCCGTAGGGAAGTGGAGATGATAACACTGTAGACACGTGGCTTTTATGGACTGGTTGGTGAAGACAGCTGTACTCAAAAGTGGAACCTCCATGAAATCCCTATCACTTTATATTTTTAACACAATATTTTATATTGTTGACATGAGGATTAACGTTAAACTGTGAGGTCCACTTTGAAAGAATCTACTTAGCATTTCTTGCGGTAAGGCCTACGGACATGTGAGTCTTATCTCTAATACAGATATTGTATTAATAAATGTGGTAAGACTAGCATTTTTTATGTCCAACTTTTCATTTCAAACAAGAAAAGGTTATGAAGGGGCGTAACGTCATGTGTTCCAAATGCTCGAGAAACACTCTTTGTAACTTAGGGCAATGAGTCTGATGTGCATAAGTTTGAATTCTCTCAATATTTAAAGATTAGATTACTATTCGAATTCTAAAAATCAACAAATCCTTTGATCACCAAAATCAAAAAGAAGTTTTTTGTTTGGGGATTTTTTCAATGCCTTCGCCAACACATTTATTTATGTTATAATAAGTGTTCAGTTTCTTAAATTATAACCTATTAAGTTTTTTAAGTAATTAGTTGATTGGTCATTAGATCATTAGAAAAAAGTTGATTGGTCATCAAGCTGGGTTACTTGACAAGGTCATCAAATCACAATTTAAAATCAAGGGTCAACGTTCAATTACGCTGGTTAACTAGATCGAAGAAAGACTAATGACATTTCATGGATAATCAAATCGAATGGGGATTGAGGATTCCGAGAGAATCCTCATCCCACGTAACCATTGAGATATTTTTTAGCTGATAAAACTTGGCTGCTGAAAGAATCAGCAGCATTCCTTGCTAATCACCAATCACGGTTGGACACGTGTCCAAGTTGTGATTAAAAAATCAACAACTTAGACACAGGTCCAGCAATGATTGGTTATCAACAGGAGGTGCTGCTGATTATTCAACAGCCAAGTCCCGTTCTTTCTTAGCAGAACTCAAGATTGTGTAATAATGTGTGATTTAAGATTTAGTTTAGTGTGCTAGATGTGACAGGTTATTTTCAATTAAAATATCTATGATATGTATTTTGGACATGTTAAGACCGATAGGTTGTGTATCCTATTCTTATACACGAATTACAAGTCCGTCTCTGTGATTTCCTTCTTAATCTGCATGAATTCTTTTTTGTTGCACGATCATCTTATTTCATTTTGGTCATCAATCCTCTTCTTCAATTTTGGGTGATCGTCTTTGATTTCGCTGTCAACCACCTTCTTTGATTTTTCAAAGATCTTCTTCTTCGATTTTGCTTGCAATCTTCTTCTTCGATTTAAGGTAATGTTAGGAAGATTAAATTTATAGACAAAATTTTAGAAACTAAAGAATATGAAAGTTGATGATTGGTTTATTACTTAAGTATTAATAAACGTGTTTATTCTTATTGATGACATATCATTTAGTCTCTCAAGCCTTACCCTATTATTTGAGGTGTATTGGGTCGTAGGTGGTGAGTTTACAAGTTCCAATTTGTTTTGAATTGTAGGTGTCACATGTATGGGTTTTGAGTTGATGAGCGGGGATTGCTGATTTAAGGGGAGCTTTTGTTATATATATTTTTTAACAAATAATATTATTTACACTAAGAGAATGAAGTGTTCGACAAAAAAAAAAATGAGCTATGTCTCACAATAAACCAGCAATAATGTTATTCAAATTAGCATTTAGGGAGAATCGAAACCAAAATCTCTCACTTACAAATAAAAAAAATATACCACCAGATAATAGTACTAAGCAGAACCAAATTTCCCTTTCGTTTTAATTTTTATTAGAATAACGTGGTGAGGCCCCTACAACTACCTGAGCAAGAAAACTCCCAACCTTTCTCAAACTAAATTGAGTTGTCTGCATCAAACAATAAACACAACTTCCAGCCTATAGTATCTACTTCAATCATAGCCTAACAAATCCAAAATACCAAAACCCTAAATTAACAGCCAAAAAAAAATTAACATGCGAATCTTGAAATTGACAACAAACAAAAGGGAACCGAGGCCACATGGGAAATATTGTGGTCCATTTGGGTTACCTACTAATGCTATTTTAATCGCGTATCAGCACGGACACATGGTAAACATCAGAAAAATGTTACCAAGTAAAACCAAACCAAACATCCTACCGATGGACTCATGATCCGATGTGACTATTAAAGTATTAGTATGCTGTAAATCCGTAATTAGTGGAGGATTAAAGATTATGTTGATGATGATTATCAAACTATTGATTAAACAATTATAATTGACTTAAACCAGAAGAACACGATTAGCAGAGTTGTAGTAGCATTGTCGTACCTCATGTAATCTTACGACGTTGGGATGCTTGAGTAGCTTCAGTGTTCCAATCTCATTCTTTATCTGCAAATTTTCAGTTCTGTTATTTTCTTCATCAAATTTAAAACGAACAAAACTGTAGATGCAGGTTAGGCCAGCCTGACACAACCGAGTTTCGATACCTTATTCGTAAATTAGGGCAGTTTGGAATATTCTTCCGCAAAGAGAAAATATGGGAAATTTTTCTAAAACATACAAAAACTTGAATGCCAATTTCAGTTTCGATTGCAGGATCCATAATTCCCACCCAAAGTTTATGAACAATCCCATTAGTGAAAGATTAAGCTTTAAAGCAAAAAGATTAAAACTTTGAAACAGACAAAAAATAACCCATTAATTAATGATTAAAACTTTGAACAAAAATTAAGATTAAAAGGAAAAAAAGAAGAACCTGGTCGGTTATTTTAAGGTCAATAATTTTGTTCTTCTCCAGAATCTTAACTGCAAAGGACTGGCCGGACTCGACGTTCTTAGCAAATTTAACTTTCCCGAAATTACCCTCCCCGAGTGTCTTTCCAAGCTCGTATTTCCCCAGTCGCATTCCCTTGTTACTGTAATTTCCACTGTTCCTCTTGTTCTTGTCCTCCTCTCCTCCTTTTCTCACGATCACCATGTAATTACACGCCTGCTCTGTTTTTTCCGTGCAGAGCGGTTGCAGAAAATCTCCTCGGGAAACAAAAAACCAGTGTCTGAAAATTGTTCTGATAAACGACGAATACAGAAAAAGCAGGGCGGAGAAGAAGGTGAAACGAAGCAAAAGTCCAAAGTCCAAACGGGCGGAAACAGAGACGTATTTGGAAAGTTATGGAACCAATCTCTCTGTGCGTTGGACGGTTGGAGTTGTGTGCTTATATAAAATGGGGCGATAAACTATGAGAAGGCAACTTGAGTTTCTAATAATTGGAGGAAGCCATTGGAGGAGTCTTGTATTTATACAGAAGGACCGTGCGTACAATGCACGTTGTGTGTGGGATAAATACCAGAGGGGGTGGGGGAGTTGAACTGTAATTAAGATAGAGAAGACCTTGGTAAAATTGGTTGTAATGTTCCGTAATAAAAAACATTTTGACTTGAGAGAGAGAATCTCGTGTCTTATTTTGACAAGAAGAAATTTTTCCAAATGTCGGGTATGAAGCCGAACGGGTACTTCACGTGTTATAAAATAAGTGGAAAAACATGAAAAAATATATTATTTCTCTATTTGTAGTGTAACGTGTTAAGTACTGCTTGAATACACGTTACTTGAAAAAACCACTGATTAACAAGGGACAAATATCATTTTAGAGGCATACATCAACAATATCTAGAAATAAAGGTGACCAGAGAAATCTTTTTACTCCAATATATATATCCTACATACATGGTATCAAATTCATGGATATCTAATTAATAATTTTATTTTAGTTTATGAATTTAATACCAAAATCTTTACACAAGTATTATGATTTGGTGAGGTTATCTCTATTTATAAGTATGATGTTTTAAGTTTGACTATCATGAATAGAGAATTCCGAGTAGAACTGGTTACACTAATTTGATATGTTATTCAATAACACACATGTAGTCCCATATTCCAGTGGATAGGTGTTGGGTTTCTAACTATGGTACTGAGTTCGAAATTCCTCCTCTCCTAAAGTATTGTAATGGTTTCAAACTCTCTCATGCCCCCTAATAATAGTAAAAGAATTTTTCCCCCATAAAAAAAAAAAAAAAAAAAAAAACACAACAACAAAGTTTCAATGATGTGTTCATCCTTTCTATAGAGCGAACTGAAATTAAACTATAAAAAATAAAAAATCATATAATCCTCATTTGTAAGAACACAATAAAAAAAATTACTGATTCAGAAGTACATGATGAATATTTTGCAGTCCAGATAACAATTTTACTCCTTATCTTTATTATTTTACATATGAAACGTTACCTTATCCTAGTACAGATCATCAAAATTATAAGATGTTAATTAGTTAGGATTGCCACGGATAAAAGATAAAGTGTGTCGTTGGTTGGATGACGGAGGGTTTGAAGATTACGGGGTTCACTTATCTTTTTACACGGCAGCCGTGTGAGACTTGGGCAACGTCACGAGACTCAACTATTAGCCACATTTTTCATCTTCTTTTGTTGCCAACCACCATCTTGCCATTTCACCCACACAAGAGCCTCCCATGCACTCTCAACCCTACACCCTTACAGATGCTTTGATTTTCTACCACTATTTTATATTCCAACTTATCACGAGATTAAAAGGTATTACAACTAAGCATACTTGTTATTTCTTAGGTGTGTAGTTGCCTCATGTCACTCATGTGACCGATGACTCTCTATTTTATTTTATTTTTTTCACATATAATTTCATGGGAAGTCAATGCATTTTGAATCCATGATGTTAATCGACAAGGTGAAAGCATCAGGTGATGAATTATTCTTATGGTTAGTGACATCTTCTTTAATTCTACGTTATGCGTTTTGAGTTAAAACTTTCTTATTTTAATGTAAATTAATGTAGAATATCGTTTGTATACTAAAAAAAGATGAAAAAAAGTAAAGTTATTGTAAAATAATAATAATACGACCTAATTCAATGCCAAACCATAACTTAAGGGATTAATCTCATTGAGGAGTGTTGGGAAAAGATTGGTTTGAATAGTGGACAATATTTTGACTGCTTCTTTTGCTTATGTGGCTATAAAAAATTTATAAAAAAAGAAAAAGAAAAGGACAAAGCATAGGATAAACCACGTGTTGACAACTTCTATTCACATAATCCCATCATTTTTAATAATCTGACAGAGATTGCCTTATTGAATATTATTTTATTTCATTTTTCTATACACATTTTGGTACAATTTTCTTTAAAAATTATTAAGTTTAACCTTCTTATGATGTGATTAATATTTTAATTAAATCTTTAGCTTATATGCTACCATGATCGTGATACATGATTAATCAGATCAGATCTGATCAGATCTGATCAAACAATATGGAAGGTAGGAAAGGAAGTATTTACCATAAAAGATAGCAATGACAAAATCTTCTCCTTTCCAAAATGTTCATTTATTGTTTTTTTAAAGATGTAATTAAAAGAATATTGAAAACTAGACAGAACATGCTTTCTGCGTGCATATTCAGCCGTCAGCCCTACCCATTTGACATAAAAGTATGAAAGTTGATGAAGAAAAATAAATCAATTATGAGATTGATTAGATGCCACTTTGCTTGGAAAAAGCGGATAGAAATGAGACGCATGTGCAATGCAAAATCATAGTACTCACAACTATGATTATTATTTTTAATGACTACCTAAATTATATAGGTAACATCCAAAACCCTGTATGATTGATTTTGTTCCACTTAATATTTGTCTAACATTTACTCATACTTTGAAGCAATTGGGAAAATTTTAACTCATCATCTCATGCGAGTTTTTCAAGCATTTTTCTATTCAAACACTTGTAATTTATCTTCTTTTTTTTTTTTTTTGGAACACCCGTAATCTATCTAAGTTCAAAGGTTCTAAAAGACGTTAGGCTCTAGTCGGGCGGCAGGCCTAACGCGTATGCGGATTTAAGTAAATCTATTGTATTTCGTGTAAATAAGTGTATGTTTATAATTTCATCGAGTAAATTGTAGTTATGGTCCATTAACTTTAACTCAATTGGAGCAATGGTCCCTCAACTAAAAATTCATTACCATTGATTCCTCAACTCATCAAAACGTGCAGCTATGGTTCCTCAGCTAAAAATTTATTACCATTGGTCTCTCAACTTTAATTCAACTGGAGAAATGGTCCCTTAACTTTAACCAAATTGTAGCAATGGTCCTTCCAACATAACTCGTTTTGACAAAAATTTTGACGTAGTTGACGAAAATAACCACAAATACACATTTTAATGAGTTGAGGGATCCTAATTATATGAATGGTTATTCCAATATAACTTATTTTAACAAAATTCTGACGAAATTGATGAAAATGACTATAACTACACATTTTGATAAGTTGAGGGACCAATGGTAATGGATTTTTAGTTGAGGGACCATTACTCTAATTTGATTAAAGTTGAGGGACCATTGCTACAATTTACTCTTTTTTTATCATAAACTAGTTAGAAAATAGAATGACATGTATATTATGAAGAGTATTGGAACATAATGAAAACATGAGGAGCAAACATATAATGTATGTTTATTTAAGTGTTCAATAAGTCTCTTACAATTTATTGGAAATAATAAAATGCAAAAGGAAAGTTCTCTATTTTCTATCTAAGTGAGTTGCAACTTCGGCAGGTGTCTAGGCGGGTCTGAGAGGGCTAGGCGGGTGCCTAGGCGGTTTAGGCGGGTGCCTCAGTAGGTCTAGGCGTCATTTCTTAATTTTCAAACGCTTAGGCATTAATCGGGACGATGGTCAGCCGCCTAGCGCCTAGAAGAGGATTTTTAGAACATTCAATGTTCTTGACTTTCAAAACATATTGTTCATCTGTTTTATAATTCTCTGTATTATTTTATAGCTTCCTATACACATTAAAACATATACATTGCTTTATTAAACAATAGATATTGCTAGAGCAAGAATTCAAACACGAAATTTAAATATAAGATTAAATACTCATAATCACGCGAGCTATACAGACAGTTTTGAAAATGCATGACGTACGTCCAAAACATTTCGTTGATCTATTTTATAATTCTCTGTATTATTTTATAGCTCCCTATACAGATTGAGCGTGAGAAGTGATGACACTCATGGAGCTGCCATGTTACTCCACCACCTTGCTTGGTCTGTGCCGACAAATTCTTTTTACTCATTTTATTTAGCTTCCAAACGAAACTGAAAGCAAAAAATAACATATTAAATATGATTGCATAGAATAGGCCAATATGGATAACTCGATATACATATTTGTCTCCCAATCAAGTTTCTATGATCAGCTAAAGTTCCATCATGTAGTAGTGTTTTATAAAGTTAAAGTTCGATCGGTGTTGCAAAGAACTTGTAACTTTAGTGGTTGAATTTTTTGATAGTG